GCAGTAGGTGTTAAGCATTACTCAAACCTAAGAGCATCATTAAATTACTAGCATCTTAAATAATTGACTCGGTTCAGCAGTTGGTTTGACCTAAGCTGCTTATCACAATATTGAATTAAAATGCAATTATTCCATTGCAGCTGATTCTTCCTTTCTTTGGATGCCGTAAAGGGAATCTTTTGTGTTCCAGTAGAAATCTTTTAAGCAGTCTCAATCTCGCCGAGAATACCTTTTCCTTTCAGGTTTTCCATTTTGGTACCGTTAGACTTCTGAATAAGCAGTAGGTTACTCTCAGCAGATTTTTTTTCACGTTACATTAATTGAATTAATTTATTCACTTTGATTCCAAATTGCACTGAGTGGCCCCGCAGTGTAACAAAGATTAAAAAAACCAATTTTAAAAATCAACAAAACAAATAAGCAGATAACAAATAAGATGGTGATTCCAACCAACATCAAAACTCAGGAAGGTTTTTTTTTTCAGCCACCTTAATCCAGGGCTTGTAAGAACAGCCGGGTTTTCAATGCCCTGTCAAGGTTCCAAATAATACATCCGCTTCAATGAGAACTCCGAGGCAGGTATATTCTTCAAAGTATGTTTTATTGGGACATATCAAATTGGCACAGACTTGGTGGGAAACCAGCTCTAAGTTCCCGCCGGTTTTACACCCAATTAAAAGTAAAACTTTGTCACTTCCCCCCAGANATTTGTCTGAAACGGTATAGGGTTTCCTGCCTAGGCAGGGGGTTGGACTAGAAGACCTCCAAGGTCCCTTCCAACTCTGCTATTGTATTATAATAGTATGTGTTATAATAATGCCAGTTAAATGTCAGGAATTGTTAAGAGTTTAGTCTATAGCACCATCATGTAAGCAGCTGCAATGGGCCAAGTACATCCCCATCTACAGTTTTTTATAATTTCTCCATCACTACCATCCCAAAATATCATGGAATCTCACATGATTTTAGCAGTCTCATGCCTTTGATATTATGTTAAGTGTTTTGCAGTTTTGACTTTCTTGGCAAGATCGTGCATGATTAAACATCTTGCAATATTTATTCTTTTGCTCTATGGTTGTTGTTTATTATTTGGGGGATCCATGAGTAGTGGCATGGCCTATCATAGATGTCTTCATAACCATTGCTGCTGTGTTTCTAGCTCCCGTTCAGTCTTCACTAAGCAGATCTACAGCTAGAGGTTTTGTTTTTTTTTGGTCTCGTGACTTTCAGTTTTATTTCTCTTGTTTTCCCCAACAAACATACAAAAGAATAGAATAGAGTAGAGTAAAATAAAATGAATAGACTAGACTATACTAGGAATAGAATAGACTAGACCAGACCAGACCAGACCAAACTAGAATGAATAGAATAGAATAGAGCAGAGCAGAGCAGAACAGAACAGAAATATGGAATGGAATGAAATGAAATGGAATACAATAATTCCTTTTTTGACCAAGTGTGATTGGACACACAAATAATTTGTTTATGGAAGCTCTTGGTACAGGTGCAAGTAAAGTAAATAAAGTACAAGTGATTGTGTTTGTTCATCATTCGTATACAAGGAATGATGATCAGTTTCACAACTGAGCCATTATAAAAGGTTACATCCTGTGCCATGTGAAGAAAAATATATATGTGTGCAACTAATTTTGCTTCCCCCCCCCCCACCTATAGAATCTATATCCCCATTACCAGGACTTTTTTTTTCTAACCAAGTTGGCAGGTGTCTTATTTCTCCAAAATGAGAAATTGGTTATTTAATGATTTTGCAAGTGATGTTAGTACTAATCCCAATGCAGAGGATATAGAAAAGTCAGTTACTTAAAAAATCAGTTACCATTACTTTGCTACGGTTATGTTTACATGTCTTTTCATTTCTTCATTTTTATTGTTGTAAGTTGCCTAGAGTATCCTCATGGTGAGACAGGTGGCAAATACATTTAACGAACAAATTAATAAATAGAAAAACCAGCAACTTTACCTGTATTTGTTAAAATTTGGAATCCCAACTGCCTTTTACTCAGAGGCAATTGTGTTTGCATGCCAGGGAAGTGGATAAATTACACATGCAACTAGTTAATAAAAAGTTTGTCATTCTATCTGTATAATAGCATGTGTTCTAGACAGAGGGACTTCTGGCACTTTTTTTACCTTTTTTCATTATGCTTCCTCAATTTGAAATGCTGAACAGTACAAGAGAAGCAAACTAGGCATCTGTGATTTTCTATTTCCTTTTTTCCAACTTCCTGAGATATATTAAAGCCTTCTGAAATAGTTTTATCCTATAGTCAGTTTAAAAGCTGGATCAATTGAAAGCTTTATTTTTCTTATTTGGCTTTTAGTGGATAGAAGAATTCAGTGTAAAGTAAATATTTTGATAACTGCATGGTGATGTGATACAAGTCCCTGAAAAACAGACACATAATTTCGGTAGCTTTTTTGTGTGAAATTGCCCACAATTAAATGAAGCGATTAGAGCGGTGTTTTTATCTATCTATCTATCTATCTATCTATCTATCTATCTATCTATCTATCTATCTATCTATCTATCTATCTATCTATCTATCTATCTATCTAGATTAGAGTGGGATGAATGGATGGATGGATGGATGGATGGATGGATGGATGGATAGATGGATGGATAGATGATGGATGGATGGATGGATGGGTGGATGAATAGATAGATAGATAGATAGATAGATAGATAGATAGATAGATAGATAGATAGATAGATACAGATATATAATCTCTAACATCACTTATTGGGAATTCACTTATTAAGCATCTAGTTAATTACTTCTCCAATCTAATAGTAAATATCAAAGAAATTAATACTATTTTTGGTAAAAAAAATAATAGTAAGAAAATAGCACTGCATTTATTTCTCTAAACAAGAAATTGTGTCCCAGATGACTTGTTCAACTTAGGTGTTTCTTAATCAGCTCTCTATTACTTGGTACTGCATTTGTGACACACACACACACACACACACACACACACACACACACACACACACACAGACAGACACAGAATTTTGCTGGCTTTAACTTGGTTACTTGTAGCATATTTAAGTCACGGCAAACAGAGCCTGCATGTAATCGATTCATGCAGTGATTATTTTCAGGTTGCCGGAGAGTCCAATGCTGCTGCCCTGCTATACACAAAGCCAGCTGTTGTTGTTTTCAGTTGCATTGATTGGTATAAACAGTGACAGCCAGAGAGGCTGGTCTCTTCCACCACCCACCCCCCCCCCCCCCGGATCATAAAAAGAGCCCAAACCTCAATATCGCACAGTAAACTTTCAGTCTGGAATTCACCTACATATTTGGGGAAGATCTTTGCATTTATCAGTCTGAATCCTTTATCAGCTCTAGTGAGCTTTCTTCCCCCCACTCCCCCCTCCCTTTACATGAAGTGCATCAAGCCGGTTTGCGCATGCCACCGTGATGCATTTGTGTGGAAATCATACAAGCTAGTAATTTTGATGCAGATGTCTTAGAGTAACAAAAGTAGTTCACTGCATGAAAACCAAACATACAATACAGGAAACAATACGTAATCTGTTCTGGAGCCTGGGCCTATTGTCACCCTGCAATGGAATAAAGGAGAGGGATTAATTTGAAGATGCTTGTGCATGACATATGCTAATTCTGTGCAAGAAGGAAGTGTCAGCGAGTGACCTCTAAATCTTAACATTGACCTCCGGTTGTAGAATGGTGTGTGCCATAAGGTCTGCCTGCCCTTTTATATGATAATTTGATTCATGAAGCATTAGGGAAGCCATAAAGTTTATGGCTGCCTTTGGACTGACTCCTTGTTTTTTAAAAAAAATCTTAAGAACCCCTCCACGAGTCACAAAATTGCCCACCATAACATGAAAGAAGTTTTAATTCAGCAAAGGCTATTTTTTAAATCATCGATTTTTAAAGACGGGGATTGCATGAAGAGATTCGTTTTCAGAACTTTGAGTTTGCCTCGCTCTCCAGCCAATTCTGAAAAGCCAAGGCTAGGCTGTTTTTTGAAGGGGTCATAATATGAATTCACTACTTACATCTGGTTTGTTAAAATAATAATTCTGTATGAAGGACACACACTGGTCACACTGAGATGTATTTTCTGTCAATATGCCATGGGTTCCCCCATTGCAAACGAAGCCATAATGTGCTTTGGATGGCTGAGGGTGTTGTTTGAACTTTCCAGTCTGATGTATCATTTATATTTATCATAGAGGTTACATTTTGGGGGGGATAGTTAAGGAAGCACCAGAAAGGGTTGGTTTTTTCAGAGTTTGAGAAAACATACCGTGTTTCCCCAAAAATAAGACAGGGTCTTATTTTCTTTTGATCCCCGAATTAAACAATTGGCCTTATTTTCGGGGAGGTCTTATTATTTTTGAGGTGCACGAGGCCACTTAGCTTCGGCCTGTGGACCAGCTGATCCAGAGAGGGTCAGAAGTTCTGTTTCTGTTTCTGGCACACTTTTGCCAGCACTCGTGTCGCTGGGCCTGCTGCTCTTTTTGTGGCCGCCCCTAAGAGAAGGGGCACGGTAGCTAGGGTTTGTGGGAGTGGCCTCTGCAAGGCTGTTCTGCGTGGATGGCAGGTTCATACTGGGCACATGGGGCATGTTCCCCCCTTCCTCTCAGGAAATAGCGGGGACCGGCTGCGCATGCATTTAAATATTTTAAGAGAGGGCTTATTTTCGGGGAAGGGCTTATTTTAGAGCATGTGCTTGAAAGCCCAATTGGGCTTATTATCTAGGGAGGGCTTATTTTCGGGGAAGCAGGGTAGCATAGGTATCAACAGAAACAGTTTTTTTTTTCCTTTTTCTTTTTGAGATCAAAGTGTCTTTACTCTCTTCATTTGCCTTTTAAAGTGTTTCAGTGAATATAGAGATTTTGGTTTTACTCTGTTCTTTAATAATAATACTAACCAATTTTGTTTTCATTTCTGGAAATGTCTCTCTTCATTTTTCCTCTTTTATTTCTTCTTTTCCTGCTCAAGTTGCTCCTGCTGTTTCTGCTAGTACTGAAGGTGATCATTCTGGTCCTGCTCCTCCTTTACATTCCTGTTTCTTAGTAAATGAAGGTATTCTTACCACTGTTCTTTCTACTTTGCCTTTTCTCTCTCTCTTTCTTTTGTCTGACTTGCTCTCTGGTTGTGTTATATGCCTCTCTTATATGAGATGCATCCATTTTTCCAAACTATTGAAGCTCACTTAGCAACTTTTATTTAAAACTAATACATTAATTCACTTAGCAGTCTTTATTTATAACCAATACTTCATTTAGTTTGTTAAAAGTAATTCATTTTCTCTGCATTGGCAGAGTGATCATGATGCGGTGGCTCAGTAGCTGATATGCTGAGCTTGCCGATCAGAAAGGTTGGCAGTTTGACGGTTTGAATCCCTAGCACCATATAATGGAGTGAGCTCCTGTTACTTGTCCCAGCTTCTGCAAACCTAGCAGTTCGAAAGCATGTTAAAAATGCAAGTAGAAAAATAGGGACCACTTTGGTGGGAAGGGAGCAGTGTTCCGTGTGCCTTCTGTGTTTAGTCATGCTGGCCACATGACCACAGAGACGTCTTCGGACAGTGCTGGCTCTTTGGCTTTGAAACACAGATGAGCACCGCCCCCTAGAGTCAGGAACGACTAGTACATTTGTGCGAGGGGAATCTTTACCTTAACCATTACCATGTCTTTTTAAAATGACAACGTTATGTATTAGAGTATAAGATTGCAGAGATTTTAAAGTTTCAATAGAAGGGAATATTGTAGATCAGTATTGAACTGTGGGGTTTTGGTGCTTTCTGAGCTGGATTGTTTTATTGCAGATATTTCATTATCCAACTAGGTAACTGTGGCACTGATGACATTGCCTACTTGGGTAATGAAACATCTGCAAGAAAACAGCCAAGTTCAGAGAGCACCCAGGCCCACACATTTTAAAATTCGTTAATTCTCTTTCATGTAGTGAAGTGAGAGGTCAGAGGATGACAAGTGCAATTTAGTTAATATCCTGATTGATGATGCTTTTAATCTTTTGAATTCAAATAATATTTTTAAAGAAAATTTCTAGGGTTGGCATTGTAAAAGGAGAAGCAGGTATGCATGAATGGTTTTAGAAAAAAAAAACCAAGTCTGTTTCAGAATTGCATTTAACCAGTATATACTGATCAAATAACAATTTAACGTGTGGTGTTCCAACAAATAAAAACTTCACTTTGTCAGGATCAATGGAATCAAATGGATTCTAAAAGAAGATGTGTTGTGTTGGTTTTAAATGATTTCTAAAACGCACATTTTGTACATGTGCATGTGTGTGCGTCTGTGTGCGTGCTTGTGTGTGTGTTGGCATGTGGATTGTTTCCAATTGTGTCTTAATCCCAGTGGAATGGATTTCAAGGAGTACCTCCCAGAACAGAGTTGGAAGATTGAAATTGAAATAAAGAAACAGGATGCTGTATGAAACCCTATAACAGCTTGTCTCAACCTTAGCAAACTTAGGATGTGTAGACTTCAACACCCAGAATTCATACTGCTAGGGGGAATTCTGGTTGTTGAAGTCTATACATCTTAAGATTGATAAGGTTGAGATGCACCGCCTTATAATGTATCGACTGACTTTCAATTATTTATGTACATTATTCAGAAAATAACCATTTTAACAAACAATAAAGATGGGTTTTACAACTTAATACCATAATTATATCTTACCATGTCTTTGTCATGCCAAGAACAATTTAGATTTAAGTTAACAGTTAGATTCAAGCTTTCCTCTAATCAGCAGTAATCCAGTTTCCCTCCGGAGTAATTGCAGAATCTGCCATGCAGTAGAGTTAAATGGGGATCCTTGGTGGGGGTAACATCTCTCAGTTTTATTAGGATAAGAGAGTCTTCTTTCAAACGTCTTGATTCTAAGCCAGGGGTCTCCGATTGAGATGATTACAAGGTCTGCATGAAGAGTAGCTCATTTCACTTAGCAATTAGATGTCAATCTATAATCTGTAGCCCTACAAATGTGGCACAGTTGTAACTCCCAACAGCCCAAGTCTGGCCAAGTGATACGCCATCAGAAGAGCAGATGGTCTACTATAGACAGAAGTTTTTTTTCAGACAGAAGCTTCAGGGTTTGTTTTTTTCCAGAACAATCACAGAATTGCGCTCTCTCAATCTCTCTCTCTCTCTCACCCCGTGTCCTTTCACAGCCAGGGTTGATGCAGCTCATTCCTTGTCTCTCCTTGGCTCAGATGGTCCCAAAGAAACTCTTCCTAGGTTCCTCCTCAAAGGAACCTTATTGTCCTCTTCAACAGAAAATCGCCAAGTTATGCATCAAGATCCCTTTAACAATGACATGGGTCAAGGCTGAGAGAAGGTTGTTTGACTTCCTTCCTTCCTTCCTTCCTTCCTTCCTTCCTTCCTTCCTTCCTTCCTTCCTTCCTTCCTTCCTT